GAAATTTGAAATGGGAAAAAAGGCGATAAGCTAGTCTTATGGCGTTTAAAATCGTTCGGAAAATGTTCAATGGGTACTTAGAAGTATATATACAAATAGAAAGCGAGTTTCGAATAATCTCCTGAGACTTAAATTTCGTATAAAAGTGCATGATAAAGAGATTCCTAAGTCAATCTCACCAGAAGACGATGGTTGATTCCGGTGGCATTGCAGCCGTTTGGCTCTAATACGACGTTCAAGTTGACGCAGTCCACGAGAAAATGGGCTGGGCTTTCGTCTGTCATATGACGGATATCGTCAGAACTGGGTCTCATTTTTTGTAAAAGCTTCAAGGTATTATTAGGTCAAGAAGACTAACCTCCTACTTGATATATGTTTATATTAACTCAAGAGAAAAACTAATAGGTGCATGTAGAAAGATTTGGTTCATTTTCCAATACTCGAGCGTGTGTGTGTGTTAACATCTGTGCATAAAGCCGGCCATAACTCAGTCTTCTTTACTTAACGTTAACTTGAGGTTTTTGCAGGAATGAGTCCTAGCTCAGACGATATTCGTGATTTGACGAACGAAAGCTCAACCTGTCTTCGCCTGAAACGATGGAGGATGTCTAGTTGGCTGCATCAACCTGAACGTCGTATTAAAACCAAACGGCTGCAGTGCAATGGGAATCAGACGTCGTCTTCAGATGAGATCGAACTACGAATCTCATCATCATGCACTTTAATAGAAATAAAAACCTTCACAGCATACTTTAAATTACCATAAATGAATAGCATGTAGCATTTAACTAACCTCTGTAACATCAATCACTATCCGTCTTCTACCTTCGCTTTGTTTAGCCTCTGCTGATCTTTGTTTTGTTAATCCAGCAACAGTTTTATTTCCTCCTAGCGTAAAGACGAAATCAACTGGTCCCAATTCATCAAACAAGCCGAAGGACGAAGAATTCCCGAGTAGGGACCAAGTGGCGTAAGCACCTGTGCGGACTGCTATTTCTAGAAAACTGTCTTTCCCAGAGCCGCTCAGATCAAAATGCTGTTTCCGGCCTTTGTTAACACCAGGATGAAGTCGCGCTCTTTTAGGTCCCAGCCTATCAGCACAGGATTCCTTGGCTAAATCAGGAGTATCTGAATCGTGGATTACTTCAGACAATTTTTTAGCATCACTATTGGACTATAAATAGGAGTATAAAAATAAAGATAAAGGGGCCAGAAATGGCTTGCATCATGATATTAAACTCCTAGCACCTCGAAAAAAGTTCAAAAAAGATAAATAGCAGTTCATGAATACACGGATATGAGAATATCAATGAAAGATTTAAGCCTGATAATTAAAATTCCTCTATAAATGCATAAAATAAATGTGTAGGATATCTTCTCCATTTATAAATGTCCATGATACTCAAGGAACAGGAGCAATGACCTGCAAAGGCGTGCGTTTTTTATAAACTCAAAACGAGTAATAAGGCTCTAACTATTATTACATTCAATAATATAACGCATATATTACGTAGTTGCATGGCAAGGTGAAACACAATGGCATCGTGAGACTTACAAGCCTCATTTTGACAAGACTCAATCATAAAAGCTTAAAATCACATCAAGCGTCCTAGGGTGACTAAGTACTTATTCAAGGCGTGATGAAGCTTTAAACCTACTTATATCGAAAATAAGTAACATCGTCGATCGCTATACCAGATACACGTTTTCTCAATCGATAATCCCACTATAAGTGCGATTTCGGTGAGATCTGGTTTACCTCAAATCCATTCCGTAACCCAATGGCACCCATGGTGGTGTATTGAAGCACTAAAGTAGCCACGATACTTACGACCCGGTATCGAATGCCGTTGTGGCTGTGGATGAGACCTAGGTCAAAAGCGAAGTCTATCCTAGGTGATATAACCTTCTGTCAGGCAAGGTTAAGTAGAAATCAGTGAGGCCTATTCATATTATTGCAGGAAAGCTCAAGTTATCAGCCCTTAAAATCACCTTGAGTTACAAGTTCGTATTCATGTAAAATTGTTTGTCATAGACTTTTTCAAGAGTGGATCGGAATCTTAATTTTACCTGGGTCGCACTGGCGCTTACAATGAAACCCGGGACCTGGTATAAAAACTGTAGTAGATACATGTCACTCTTGAGTCATAATGACCAAGTACCAATAAGTAAAACAAATTGTGAAGACATTAATAAATAAAGTAGCTGTGTATACAAAAAATTCAGAAGTAAAAGCAAATGGTCCACATGCAGTTAAGAAAAATTAAAACGATGCAAACAAACAAGGATATATATACGAAAGGGGCGAAAACGCGAATAAGGAAATTAATAATCAAGACAATTCAGCAATCATAAGGGAAGATAAGGAAACATAAAATGTAGAGAATGAAACAAAAAAGGCCTCGTTTAAGCATTTCACCATTTTGATCAACATGCAGATTCTAAGAAAATAATCAAAAGAAGAAAATGATAAATAATTAACCAAAGGAAAATTTATTAACCTTAGGTGAAGTCAGGAAATCATCGTTAGTTTTCCACCAGTCATCGAGAAGATTGTCTGTGCGTTCGACAGTCAATTTGTCACCAAGTTTCGGGTTAATCAAAAATATCTTGCGTTCCCTTAAAAAACAAAATGGATGACAAACATAAAAAATGATCATTGTGTAAAGTTATTAAAAGCATAAAGAGATGTATTGAAGCCTGCAATTACGCATAAGTATACGTATCAACGAAAGCAACCATGGTGCCTTGTTGCGTATATTGTGATCTTACAATCAACAAACCGACACAGGACCCATATCTCATCTGATCTCATTTACATCTCATGCTGGAAGCGCTATTAATCTACTGAAATGAAAACTTTCCAATGGGAAATCCGGTCTCAGTACAGCCATCTACGAATAGACTTCAGCCTTCTTGTATCAGCGAAAGTGGCATACTTTGTTATTACTATTAGGAGGCCGTTTATAAACGTCAGATATTAATTATACTAAAGAATATAAAAAACTATTTGGTCAAAGTTTACTATTTTGATCTATTATCTGCGACAGTCCCATATATACGCATAAAAGGAGCGATGCAGTCATAGGGACGCAAGTCGTTTGTAAAAGTATTCATAATGATTATAAGACTTTGGACTCAAAAAATAAGGATTCATTAAAACGATCCCATAGCTGTCTAGAGAGCAAATCGCATCATGGACAGTCTGACTAGACAAGTAAACATAAATATATGATATATCTTCACGGAAAATTGGTTGTGGATGAGTTAAAGCGAATATAGATATTCGCATCAGATTCGAAGATAATCTGGGTTTTGATGAATAACTTGAACATTGTTTTGAGGAATTTCCGCTAGTATGAAGAGATTCTAGGTGGATTCACCAGAAGGTAGCCGATTCTTGTTATTCTGAAGTCATTTAGCTTTAATACGACATTGATGCTGAGGCGCTCCACGAGACCTCCGTTTTGGAGTGAAAATGGGCCGAACTTTCGTTCGTTATATGACGGATATTGTCAAAGCTTGAGCTCATTATTGTAAAAGTTTCAAGGTACTACTAAGTCAAAAAGACTATGTGGCTCTATCCTACGCGCTAGATACTCATAGCTAAAAAATATATAAAGAAATATAATGATTTGATTAGTTCTATTTTATACTAAGAGAAACTGGGTCTCGATGATTCTCCTGAGACAACATTGTTAGGGGGACTTTCATTTCGTATTAAAGGACCGGTACTGCGTATAGACGCTAACACACACACACATACACTCGAGCAAAAGTAGCAGGACAAG